AAGCCCAGTTTTCAGTATATTTATCTACTTGCTATATTAAAATATTATGAAGCAAGCGTGAATAGGTAATCACTGACAATATAACCACGATAGAACAGTAAGTTAAGCCACTAGTCTCGCTTAAGCGCTCATAACTGTTTCAGTTCCCTAGCCTTTCTCCCGATCACCTTCTTTAAAGCTACTATAGCCCTCCTTAAGGCTCATTCCTTAAATTTTGGATGCTTAATGTTGGCATCGGACGACCGGAAATTTCTACCAAAAGGCTTCAGGAGAACATCGTTGTGATGTCGGGTAAAGTACGCCAAACTGTATCGTGTATATTTGGCTTGTTCTCCAGGGGGTTCGCTATATGGTGGGTGGTGTTCTTCAGCTCGCCACTTGACCACTTGACAAATGCGTCGCCCAGATTAATTATGGACATTCCAGGCTTGGGCGTAACGTACTGCTAGCCAGGCTCTTCTCCAGGAGCAAGAAGGCTATCTGGACACCCAATCTAGAGCCCGCTCAGCTGACTGAATAGTACCGTGAAAGTATCCAGTCAGTGCCATTAACTTGTTAGATAAGTTTGAAAGCAATCACAAAGTTGCATCTTAAAGACACTAGAGAAGAGCTCTGGATCTCTTGCCTCGATGAATTTGTAAATGGAATTGTGATTTTGAGATTTTACGTACCGTAGCTGTAGATGTAGATTGACGTTGGCTTTTCCAGGCTAGGGTCGGCACTTTAGTAAGCGATTGCTGTGGCTATGTGGCTTACGCAAGTGATCTCAGTCGATGTCTGCGCACCAATCCAGTACTGTTCGTTATTGTCGGGAGATGCCCCCCCAAGACAAACTCTTTTAGCAAGATCGACCTTCCAGGATGCCAATAGTTATCCGATTGATCCCAAAGTTCAGGGCAAATGAAACTTGCACGAGTGCCTAGCTAGTCAGACTTTTTCGTTATGCTCTCCTCAATCTCTGCTATGACGGGCGCCCCAACTCTACTACGTTGCTTCTAGATTTCTTCGCACGGTATCGTGCCAGGCTTGGACTACCAGCCACAACAGTTGGGCTTGACATGGTGTTGGGAGTGGGTTGAGTGTCGCAGAATTTGGGTATTGAGCAAGGTATCGCTCGTGGCATCACTGAGCGCGACTTCTTGCTAATGAAGCCTGGGCGCGTCAGTGGGTGGAGCCTCGGCCCCAGCGCGTTCTTAGTTAGCTGCCTTGAGCCGGCCAAATTGGCCTCAGACCTCGATATTCACGGCTTCCGCTTTTAGCTTGAACCTCGTGTCAGGCCTCCGTTGACGGCAATCGAACGTCGGAGCGAAGAATCAGGCCGTGGAAGGGCAGGCGGCACAAAGACAGTTGTGCACTTGAATGATATTGTCGAAGCCGCCGTAGACAAGTTTGCTAAGACGTTTATGATCCTTCGCGATGATGTCGATCCATCGAAGCCGCCGGTAGCCTACGGCCTGGATAGCATGATCGGGACAGCGCTGCGTAACTGGGATTTCTCAACTTTCGGTGTCGATATACCAATTTCGGATTTCATGGGATTAGTTCTTGAAAGCCCGAAGTTTACGACAGTCTCGATTCCAGTCGTGTATATCCCTGACTTGAGTATTAGACCTTATTAGCAGTATAGGAGCATTATGCTTAAGCCTAGTTACAAGCGGTCCAGCAACGGATGAACCATATCTCCCACTAGGCAATATGAATGAATATCCTATGATGGATCATTGTTTATCCGTCCCGTTCGTCCGCGCTGGCCTCCGAATCGGGTTCTCGGGTTCTTGGCGGGCCAGCCGGGTAACGTTAAGGACAACGGCCGCTTATTAATTTCGAGATGTGTTAATGACGAAGTCGCGAAACGCACGATGTATGTACATTCGGCTTGAGGAGGTGGTCGAGATGTTGAAACGGACTCACCGCATAATCGTATATAAAATAGTATAGTACACTTGACAATTTAACAGACGATCACATATCTCCCAGTGCTCTCATAGAATATCGATTTCATCATATGTTGATTTCATAATGGACTCAATCCTCAACTTACCCACTGTTTCCCTCGTGCAGCTTTCTATCGCTGTGTTTCTCATATATGCCAGTTCTTTGGTTATATATCGACTTTATCTCTCACCCCTTTCTGCAGTACCAGGACCTAGACTTGCCGCGCTAACCTATTGGTACGAGTTTTATTTTGATGGTTACCTAGGCGGCAAATATATCTTCAAAATCAAGGAGTTTCATGATAAATATGGACCTATTGTACGGATCAACCCTCATCACGTCCACATTAACGACATCAGCTTTTATGATACCATCTATGCACCTGGCGGTACTAAACACCCCCGGAATAAGATCCGTTGGATGGCAACGGATTTAGACAGCATGTTCGACACGTTCGACGCCACTTTACATCGCAAGCGTCGTGCTGCCGTAGCATCGCCTTTCTCGAAGCAAGCAATCCGTGCTCTAGAACCCGCTATTTCCGATATCATAAACAACTTTGTAGCGCGACTCGAGAGACTCGCAGGCACAGGAACTGTTGTGGAAATGCATTCATTCTGGAACAGCCTGACACAAGAGGTCATTGGCCAGTATTGCTTTGGAGCTCACAAAAGTAAGAAGATTACAACTGTTCCCCTTTTTTTTTCTAAGTGGCACGAAGAGGCAAATCGCTTTCTAGGACTAGCGGCGTGTTGATTCCTCGGAAACTTCCCGCATGCTTCTCCGAATACTACTAATGCTTCATGTTGCAGTGAGCGACCTTCGAGAGGGAGGTGACGAGGCTCAATTCATTCAGCCGGATCATATAATAGAAAATGCCCATGCGTGGGGTCGAATGTTCCCCTGGTTGTTCGACATCATCGAGAAAATCCCGATGAGCGTCCTTGCACTTTACGATAAAAGACTCAGCGGTGCGGACAAGTTCGATAAGGAAATAGGGGATCAGATCGTACAAGTACTTCAGTCAGACCAGCCGCATGTTGGTATCAAGAACGTGTTCCACGAGATGCGAGACAGCAAACACTTGCTGCCCGAGGACAAGCAATTCAGCTACTATAGAAGAGAGGCGGGGAGCTTTATAGGTGCCGGTACTGAGACTACAGCTGGTGCACTGACGACTCTTACCTATTTTGTGCTAGCGAATCCTGAGATCCTGCAGAGACTTCGCGAAGAGCTCCAGACCGTCATGCCTATTGGCCAGAAAGATTTGCCGCCCACTTCAACTCTAGAAGGTCTACCCTATCTTGTAAGTTACTTCACTCACTTATTACACAATGTGGGAAGCAATTATATGTAAAGCTAATATGAATGACAGACAGGAATCATTCAAGAAGGAATACGACTATCTTTCGCGGTGCCTGGGCGACTTCCTCGCACGGCACCTACCGAAGAGCTCGTTTACCAAGGGTACAAGTTGCCTCCAGGGGTAAGTTATGCAGTTTTCCGTCAATACTTTTCTGAATTCAAATAAATGATATTGTCATACCTAAAACACATAATATTATTGCGCTCCGCTAACCCCTTCTGCAACATTAGACTGTTTTGAGCGAGTCGTCGTATCTGCTACATATCGACGAAAAGGTATTTCCTGAGCCCTTCGAATTCAGGCCCGAACGTTGGATCAACGATACCGAGCATACCGTACGCCACCAGTTTGTGGCCTTCTCGCGAGGTGCCCGAGGTTGCATCGGCATCAATCTAGCATATGCCGAGCTGTATCCGGTTGTAGCGACGGTATTTTCGCGTCTCAAGTTGAAACTATTTGAAACGTCTCGCCGCGATGTCGAATTCGCGTCCGATGGATTTATTAGCTATCGACCGAAGGACTCTAAGGGAGTAAGGCTGCAAGTATTTTGATTGAATCAGGGGCTTATCTAGTTTAGACTATTCATCCAGGGTAACGGCGGTGGTACTAGCCGAGGCCATAGTTGCACTCTTTTGATAAGACATTATTTGCGATATAGATGTGGAGGAGCGATAGTATTGGCTATAAACAGTGTAAGAATAGGGGATACAGTTTTGAATTCTTAGTAGATAGTTTGAAGATTTTGGTAATGAGAAGTTTAATATATCATAGCGGAAGCTAACTGTCCAGAATTACCCAGGCTGACATGTGTTCATGCTATGAGGGATGTGAGCCCTTGCGCATTTTTCCAGAGTCACAATGTGTCCTGTTGCATTGCATGCAAAGGAGTCCCGCTTCCCATAAATAAACAACGTTCCAGAGTACCATGTGTTTGTCTCGTAGTTATCCTGGTTACTTGTTCACCGAAGTCAACATCAAATCCGGCCTTGCCCTCGAGAAACACTATCATGAGTAATTCTAAATTATAGACGCACTGTCTATCTGCCCTAAATTATATAACACTGCGGGGCTAGTTGGAACGGCTCTATCCCATTCCGTTGAATTGCTGTGCCTGTATAGTGTGTTCATGAATCATAATAAGGGAAGCGCTGGGCGGCTGGTCCAAATACTGTTTGTTGCGGAATCTTCTAGGATACATTGATTAGATGCTATTTGCAGCCGTCATACGAAGGTAAGGAGAGATAGTTGTGCGTCTAAGGAATCGTGAGGTCTCGTGTCTGATGCTACAAGAGATCGGAACCCGGGGTATGAATCGAGGCGAGCACAGCTTCTTCGGGGAATAATGATACGCATAAAGAAAGTGAGCTATCAGATGCGGTCTCACATGACAGGAAAGCATTCAATTTTTTCTCTATAACGTCAAGAACCATCCTCTCTGCAGTCTATGGTATCATTCCCCTATTACAACCTAAGGATGTGCACCAAAGTTCAAGGGTTCGATGTCATCATGGAATATTTCCGAACCCCAGAAAAACACGCCCCGAAACGGCCAACAAAAGTACTCTACAAGGAAAATTAAAGTGAAAAAAAAAAAAAAAAAAAAAAACAGTTCGCAAACCGCCCCTCTGTCGGCTACTACATCTGCCTCCCAATTTGAGATCAGGATAACTCCAAGGTTGACCAAGGAGGAAGCGACTGCACCCCCATATGGGAGGGATTCGAACCCCCGACCTTATCGGTTGCGGCTTGGAAGCGCGCATCGATGAATCATACACCCCTAGACCACCGAGGGCCGTCCGACTTCTAGCAGGCAGACCCGTAAATTTAATCTCATAGCCCTTGTTTCAGAGTCAATGGTAGCGAAGAATAGCCGGACGAACTATGAGTTGTTGGGAAGGCATTGGTGGCTGCTGTTGCCAGATGTTGTTTAAGTATGGGAGGAGGGGAGGGGAGGAAGGAGGGAGAGGACAAGAAGGGTTTGCGGAGGCTAACCATCGTAGGTGTTACAACTTCCTTTCGATTATGTAAATGGGCTAAATCTGGAATCTTGGTGTAAATAGAGTCAATTATCATGGAAATTATCATGCAGTGGATTTATTCCTCAGAAATTCATGTGTCATCTGTTATACGCGAGGATGATTCCTAGTCTTCTCCAACGTTTAATGTTTTCGGTGTGGCCTACGACACTCAGGTTATCGTTATTGGAAACAGCGAACTTCATCGATAGTAAATAGGGGGGAGCGTGCGAAAAGGGTGGCCCTATCTAGGGCTCATCAGCTGTTAACGGTCGTTTAGTTGTCCATACAGGGCTTTCTATCTTTTTGTCGCATTGTTTATTGCGCTTCGACTGCCTCAGCACGTGTACCTCTCTTTCCCATCTTCATTGTATGAACATTTGAGTTACAACGATTTTTATGAGCATCACGGGTACATGAAGGAATTAGCTCCTATCTGGTTAGGTGGGAGGTCTACGGACTATATGTTCGAATAACTTCACTTCTCTTCGCATATGTCTGACTCGACTCTGCTCTTGTAGACATGGTCTTGGTGTACCATACAGGATTGGGTAGTAAAGACTCGTATGATTATGTACCTGATATGCAGCTCGAGGTTCTAGTCATGCGAGACACTTCATAATCGCGAGGGGACTAGGCAAGAATCTATGCCTAAAGTCTGTACACGCTCAATATACGCGCCTTATCAGGTAGTATCTTTGTGCTATGTTCTAGTACTGCTGATGTTGTAAAGAGACGTACGATAGTAGTTAGAGTCCTTAAGGATCGTCGGGCCTGAGACGGCACCTTGCGGTCGTAGGCTATGTTACTATCATATCTTTATTAATGCTAGACCCTTGATGTATTGTCATATATAAAATTAGGACGCAAATGTCACAGGCGATAATCAATAGCACCCAATAAGGTGAGATGTTACAATACAATGCACACCTTAGGCACTCGGCGGAGACAGCTCGGAACTATACTAGGCTAAAAATAGCCTACTAGTGCCTGGGACTTAGTGGGACCGATCCAGTAGCGGAGCTGATTGTGGGGGAGGTAGAGCCCCATGAAGTAATGCACCAAGATCATCAAGGCCTGCTCAAATGTATAACGATAACAATTGAAAAATAGGACTGAATTATTCCTTCGACTTTATTGCAGTTGAAAGAAAACAAATGCACGATTAACTAGGTGGTGTGGACCTATACCAACATTCGAACTCAGGACGTTGCTGTTAAGCGAAAGAGGAAAAAAACGCGCGCCCTCGGATGCAAGTGTATTACCACTTGACCATCTAAGGTATGATTCATCGATGCGTGCTTCCAAGCCAGAAGGATTGTGTGTACCTAGGTATATATGTTTATCACACTTTCTTTTCCAAACCTTAATCGAAAGCCCGCCGCGGCTTACGCAAATCAACACGCAGAAGGCCCGAGCGGTATAAAAGACTATTGAATAGGTATATCTTATCCAAGAGTAGCCGAAACGGGTTTCTAAGCCGACTAAAGTATTTTTATCAAGAAGATATGTAGTTAGCTTGGAATTCACTCATAAGTAATGAAGATTGTTATAATGCAGGAAAACATAGAACAAGCTCAATGAGTGTCTGCTGCAACCAAAAACAGAGAGTCAAGCACTCGGTCTGCAGAATTATATGCTACCTAGGGAACGACATAATGATGAGTGATTCTTTATTAAAGATACCCGACCACTACCAACCTAGCGATCATTATTCCACCACAGACTCTGCTGAAACCATACTCGAGAGCCTAAACGTGCCATATCCACTCAATGGCGCAGCCCATCTAGTCAAATCCACATCTACATGCTTGATGTCTCGAAATCCACGATTAACAAAGAAGTCATAATGATTAGGCTCGGCAGTGATCCGTAGGAGAAGTTTCTCGTCTGCGGCATGCTTCTGAGCCATTTGCAGCAGCCAAGTGCCTATTCCTCGTCGTCTGCTAGATGGTTTGACATAAACGTGCGTCAATGCTGACAGTTACACTCATTAACTTCAATTTATCCCTCAAGTAGGATATTGGGAGAGCTTGCACTCACCGATGAACTCTTCGTCTCGAAAATCTGAGTGCAGCTCCTGAGTTGCACGTGTCACAGCCCAGAACACCTCCGGAACAACACCGGCGGGAACTTCTCTGTCTGCGCTGGGCACCTTCTGTTTTGTGTAGAACAGATAAGCGACAGGCTCTTTAGAAGTATCATCAACTACTTTCAGACTCGTCGCCTGAGGATTTGACAAGGCGCCTTCGACAGCTTTGGTGTATAAAGCTTTTTGGGCTGGTGGGTTCGGCCAATCCTTGATCACGAACCGATTAATCGCAAGCTGAAGTTTAGAGTCTTGAAGAAAAGAGCTGATAATAGGAATGTCGTCGACCGTCATAGGTACAACGCGATGGTTGGGAACAGACATAGTGTGACTCAATTGCAGTAATGCGTAAGTTGGGCTTCGATTTCTGTAGGATTTTGTCAGTCGGAGGCATAACTTTTGAGACGGATGAGAAATTAAGTATATAAGTCGGGGTTTGAAAGTGGTTTATATGCAGATTCTTTGTTCAGGCAACAAGTTTGCGCCCGTCCTCCTGGACAGGCAGCAGCAAATTTGGTGCAGTCTGATGAGAACCTAACTTACGAGGTGATCAGGCATCACTCCTTTACCAATCCATCGATTATGAGATAGGCAGAGTTAGTCCTAGTCAATTGCAATGATAATCGTCGCCATGAGGGTTGCGCCGTTGATCCGAACTGGCGTCGATGACATCGAACATCTCCACAGTCTCCGCGGGTTCCTCGGCAAATTGGAGGGGCTGCTCTTCCAGAATAGAACCGCCAGAGTCAAAGGAACTGTAGGTAAGTAGTCAAATAAATTGAGGCGATGAGATTGCCGTACACATAAACAAGGATAGTCCCATTTCAACAAGTTCTGCATTGTTTTGCTGCCGATTAATGACAGAGAAACCTGTTGCAAGTCCTTACACAGGGGCCAAGGATCCAAAGCGTCTACAGTCTACTCATCAGCGAAGTTCATACATTGCTAGGTCAATTGGGAGAAGCTTGCCATCCAAGCTGGCTCTGAAGACGGTATCACGACTAAAACCTACTACGGACCACTTCTCAACCCCGCCATCCTAATATCACCACCGCAGCGGCAGGAAAGGAAAAATACTCCCACGATAACAAAGCCGTTTCAATGTGAGTTAAGACCGAGACTCTAGAGATGGGAGATGGGGACGAGCACTAGACCCGCAACTATTTCACGTCTTATTACTCATTCTAGCTTGGGTATGGAAAGGTTTGAACTGCCAGCTCGATAAAGAAGATTGGACTATGAGAAGCGCGCCTTAAAGGATTGCCGAGGATGGGCGTGCAACCTTGATTGCTAGTGTTACGGGTGATTTGTGATCGGATCTAGTAAGTGTAGCATTCACGTAGATATGGCAATATGTAGCAACGAGTTATTGGTCCTAGTAAGTATCCTAATTTACAGCGTAAGTCGTCATATGATGACGAGCTTTTGAAAATATCGCTGTAATATTCTCCCTTCATAGGATCCTTATGACCTGCTAGCCCTCTTCCTTTAAGATCAATATCTCGACAAAGCCGAGGCACATAGCTAAGAAATCCGTGTTGCTAGGTGTTAGGTAAAGACCATTGTTAACGGCGGCTTTTACGGCAAAGGGTTTCACGCCAATCAGCGCCGTAATCTTCTTCCCAGATGCTGGCGATCTCTTTTGCAACTTCGTCGCTCACATCCTTCCACTCCTCCCCCTGGGTATCTGCCTCATGCCTTGAAAGCGTGGTGATATCGAAACAGTGCCCCGCCCATACTCCCCTCGTGCCGTTGGTTGTCCAGCAAATGCGCGACAGGAGAACTTCGCCGAACCCCAAGACACTAATATTGGGGCCACTAATATGGTCGGGAGATACGGCAATAGCGTCAGCGCGGACTATCTGTTTCGTGGTCAAATTTCGAAGAATCCATGGCTGATCTGTAGGAAAGTACTTGTTGTCGACCTCGAGCCGTAGGTGCGGAGATAAATGGGTCCACGCAGGGTCATGACGTATGCCTCGCCTCCCACAATTAATCTTCAAGTCAAATTCCAGGTCCCAAATAGATCTCTTGCTTTTCTCCTTCATAGACACGCCGGGTTGAGTGAAATGCCAAAGAGTGAACGGACGGCTCTCAACAGGGTACCCACTGAGATCGTAATCTTCATCTGTGAGATAGCCATCTTCATCAAGCTTGATTGTCATCTGGCGCATAAAATCGATCTCTTCACTTGAAAACAGGCCTGGGGGGTAGTCATTTGGCTCAACATCCTCGCCTACACAGACAATATTTTTGCCGGCCCATCGCCCCAAAGCTGACATAAAGTAATGTTCCAAGAACTCAAGGGATATAGGCAAGAATTGTCGGTTCGTAATTCCGAAAGAAATGACATCTTCAATGTCCTCGATGAAAGAAAATATATGTCGATGTAATTCTAGAGGCAGACTGAAAATGGTGACAACAATGTTGGAAACTGCTGTCTCATCTTGGTATTGGGTTTTGATCTGCTTGTGGCTCTGAGGGGACTCAGTAAGTGCGTCGTTGTCATCCCTGCTACGCTTTACTCCTCGCTTTTCCTCACAGGTAGTGTTGGTCGAGTCAACAGGGGAATTCCGAGGCGAGTCATGCAACGGCCGAACTGGAACCGCCAGGAGTGCTACGAGAGACCTTGCTTCAATATGACTAAAAAGGATTTCTCCCAGTTTTCCGTAGGGTGAGTCCGTGGTT